AAAATCTGGTGGGAAGCATTGTGGTAATCGTGTGTTACATATCTTTACCTGCTTGTGAGCTTTGGTGAGCTGCTCGAGGTTGCTCTCCAGGAAGCAGATCTTCTGTTTGTGGGCGGCGCTGCTTTCTGCGTCGTCCGAGTTCATCTTAGCATTCTAATGAAGCCCAACAATCATCTTTATCGGTACACTGAGTTCAATCCATGTTTTACGTCTGCATTTATTTATCTGCTACAGCTGACTTGTCAACCGTTCAGATCTTCCAACCCAGCGATGTTCAAAATCTGTAACCAACACCCCTGAATCCAAAGCATCCCATTTGTGGCTAAATGAGATGATAAGCAGGGTATTTGAGAGGGGTACAGCACCACGGCATAGCCTCTGTCCTCGGAGAAAAGCCTGATTTGCCTTTGTTTATCTCATCAAGCCTCAGCCTGAGGGCTGGAGACGAGCACCACGCCGAGAGCCTGGGTCCCTAATTTACAGCTGCTACCTTTAAAGAATCAGATGGCCTACTTATTGCAGACGCTTTGTGTTGTGTTCCCTGGATTCATTAAAATCTCATCACCGTGCAAATGAAATGGGAGTGCAGCCGGTGCATGGCTGTGTTTGTCTCGTTCCAGGTAAATGTCGTGGTCGAGGCAACGAGAGCTGATATGATATCACACTAGATCACAAAGATCAAAAATCACATATGAAACCAGATGACAGCGATGAGGTACAATGAGCAGCTTCAGGAGAACAGGAGGACATGTACCTACTGTCGGGGCTTTTACCTTTTTCACTCGAGTGGCCAGGTCTTGGACAAAAAGCCTCCGGAGGTTGTGGAGCGTCTGCAGCTCTCGGGCCTGTGTGATGGCAAGGAAACACAGTTACAAAAAAAATAAACAGTTCGGAGACATTAAAGAGTTTATTCACCCAAACCCAGACTTTGTCCATGTTTTGAGTTTTCCTTCCCTGATAATTCTGCTTTCCCCCGAACACGAGTGTAGTTTAAAGAAGTTGATTTGTTTTACTTAGAATTAAGACCAAGACCCTCAGAACATAATCATGGATGAATTACTGAAAGGGGCCTACCGGGCACAGGCCTAGGCCCCCCTGGCCGTCACCTACAAAATGTCACTCAAACAGACACGTACCAACAAGGAAGAGACTCAAAATGACCAGAAAGAATCCAAACAACGACAAAGAGATGCAAAGAGACAACAAAAGATTCACAACGACTAAAAGGGGAAAAACAACCAAAGCAACTACAAAGAGACACAGAAATGATCACAAAGACATGCGTAACCACAGAGAGATGCGTAACGACATCAAAGAGACACAACACAACAAGAAAAAGAGGCTATAACTATGTGCGTCTTGCTCTGTCTGGGTTCAGACTTTTGAATCTGCCCGTCTAATATCAGGCGATGTCTTGCTCCTATGTGGGGGAGGTGATGGGGCTTTTTGCATGTCTGATCCCAGGAGCCCATTGTCTCGTAATCCACCCATGAACATAATAGCCATCCTCGGCATGACATCACGTCCCTTACTGCTCGTCATTTTAGAAAAAGCAATCAGCTACCCATCTTCAGCGTATTGGTATAGAACAAGTGATTCAATCACATTTCGGTGATACTGCTGCTTCAAAGGGATACTTTTTGGATTTTCACATGAAATGACTCCAGTTAATGTAAACAAAGAATTCTACTTTACTGTAACAATTTGAAGATCATTTCCCTAAAGTGATGTTTGTGATTATTCTACAATGACTGATGATGGTTTGTAATAATCCTTTTACAATCATTTTGGAATTGACCATTTAACTTGCTAATATAAGTTTTTTCTGAGAGGTGTCACTGAAGTTGTATTACTTCCATCCGCATTCATTAGAATTGATCCTTTGTGCATTGCATTGTGGGTGAACAGCACAATGATGTTTAGTATACTCTATTCCTTACTCTAGGCCTTTTCTCCACAGTAAAGGAGACACTGGTTCAGGCTCGAAATGTTGCAGTTGAATGTTTTCAACTGTCACTTTGTCCAAAACTGAAAAATTCTATTGTTTGTATTTAAAATATAAGCAAAACTTTTTTTCTACTTAAGGTGAAGTCACCCTCTAAGGCAGTGGTTCTCAACTGGTCTGGCTGCGGGACCCACCATCACCCCTTAATGACAAGCCGCGACCCACTACCCAAATTATATATATATATATATATATATATATGTATATATATTCAAGAAGTCTATTAGTAGTAATGTCTCTGTGTAGTAAACTGCCAAATCAAATAAAGAAAGTACACATCAATTATATTTTAACAAATATTATTCTAATTTTTCAAATGTAACTGGATGGATTGTAAATAATGCATAGAAATACATGAATAAATGTTCTTCTCATTTCAAGTAAAATAACAGCTGGATTAAAGAATAAATTTCGTAACGAAATAAATTTTAGAAAAATTATTTTCACTGAATTGCCCTGCAGCTTTAAACTCAGTTCATTCAGGGTGAAGTGAAAAGGCCACAATATTATATTTATCTCATCTTCTAAAAAGAGAAATGAGTGTTGGAAGAATTCACCTCTATGAGTCTGTCCAGAGTCTAATGACTCTGGTCTCTCTGGCCGTTTTCTGTTTTGGAAATCGTCCTATGATTTGACTTTCACAAGTCAATAGTCCTGCTCTGCTCTCTGTCCTCGTCTCTCTCCGTGTGTCACAGTGTGTGTACATCTCACTCAAGTCAGGAAACTCTCAGAATACCCATATTTGATTGGCTGAGCTGCATCACGTGATGTGATTCACAACGCATTGGTCGGTGTTTTTCCTGCACGCTGAACAAGTGCCGTGAATGCTGGAATAATTCCGCTGCATAAAAAATGCCCTTCAAAATAAAATCACATTTTTTTTTTTTTGTCAGTCAAAGGCCCACGACCCACTGAAAACGGGTCCGCGACCCACTTTTGGGTCGCGACCCACCAGTTTCACTGCTCTAATGGACCACAGGTTTAAATGGACACGTCGATAACTGACCACAGTCTCCTCCAGTCCCTTCAGGTCCTGTCTGGCCTGCTCCCGCCTGTCCTGCAACACCCTGCACAATGCAAAACGGGAGTTAACCTGTTGCATGTGGTATCATGGTAAAACAATGGCCATTAACTACACGTAGAGGTGTTACGTGAGGTCTTGCAGCTGGCGGCTCTTCTCCTGGTCTGCAGCCTTGAGCTTCTCATGCTCCACCTTCAGCCTCTCCTGCTCCAGCATGATCTTCTGGTTCAGACTACACACACACACACACGTCGGCAACAGAATCAGTACGCAAGCTCTACGTCACATTTACAGAGCGAAAGTGTTTTGGCGTTGTTGTTGGCTTACTCCTGCAGCTCCGTCATGAGCTTCTCCTTGTTGTCCAGCTCGTCTCTCAGGCTGCTTATCTGCTTCTGATGGACCTGTCTGTGAGACTGGATCTGCTTCTCCACCGCGTCCTGAAGACACAAGCAGCACACAGCTGTGGTCACAATGCAGAGGCTGGAGACCGCGCCTGTATGGGACAACTCTTCAGTGACGCAGTACCTTGACTTCATGGGCAGACTGGATCTCGTTCTCCTTCTCCATGGTGTTGACTTTCTCTGGAAAGAGTAAAGCTGATAAGGTATCACTATCATTACCAGGAAAAGCAGTGGAAAATGTAGTTTTTTGTGTGTTTCTTTTGACATTTTTTTCATTTTCTTTTCAATTTTGAGTCTCTATCAAACAATAGAGATGTCAGTTTACAGCGAAAGAACACATTTGCTTTGATTTAACTCCACAAAGTGAAATAACAGTTCAAAAGATGTTGTCACTGTGTTATTGTGTTCTAATGTTCTTGTGTTGAACAGTAGAAGTAGATTTACCTCATCAATGACTTCAATAATTGTCAGACAAAATGACGCGAAAACAATAATTTCAACAAATATAAAATGGAATAACATTACTTATAACTTATTATAGTTACTTATAATTAAACTAATAGCTTTTGTAAAAAAAAGAAATACTACCTTTACCAATAATGTTTTTTTTAAAGATTGGTGGAGCATGTGTTTTAAAAAAGAAATATTACGAAAAAAGCAAAAGAACTGCACTACAAACAAGCCAAGAGTGGTTTGCTTGTGAGACCGCAATGCACCCTGGGGATTCTTTTGGGCTCATCTCTTTGATTTAAGTACAACACATCTTTTAACACGGCATCACAAGCTAAAATGCTGCCAAGAAGAGCGTTAAAGACAGCACAGGGGCTGATGCTCACCTTGGGCTTTGATCCGGACTATTTCCTCATTCAGAGAGTCCACATGTTCCTCCAGCTGTCGTTTCTTCTGCTCCACATTCTGGAGGCTGTCTGTCAGGGACTTGATTTTGGCTTCATGCTGGACGACGACAGGAAATTGAAAAAGACATGAAAATGTATAAACTGTCATATGCGATTAAAACTCACACAGAGAATAAAGACATGCAAAAACCCCGTCAACTAGCTAAGCTGCTGTTTGATTGATAACAACACAATCTGCCATTTTAATTAACCACCACATTTGTCACTATGGTGACAAGTATCCATGATGGCAGAGGCAGCGGCGGTTACCTGGGAGACTCGGAGCCGGAAGGCAATCAGCTCCATCTCCGTCTCCTCCATCTTCTGGGTGCTCTCGGCCCGGGAGCTCTCCAGCTGTTTGCTCCGCTTCACCATCGTCTTCACCTCCGACTTCATCTTACTGATGAAGAGACGGGCCATGGTGAACTCCTCGTCAATGAGGCCGCTGCTCTCTTGTTGCTGTTGGGTCAGAAAACAGTAATTAGGCCTCAGAGGATGTGCTTGATGCTTTGTTTTGTATGCTTTGTATGCAAAACATTTTCTTTCAATTGAATGTCTCTTTTTGAATATTTCTATCAATGATTAACCAAAACCACCGACTAACCATTACAGCTAAATATGCAGAAGGCCCATCTACAGAAAATAAATGGAAAAGACATCAGAGTGGTGGCAACTAGGGCTGCAACTCACAATCACTTTCATCACTGATTCATCTGAAGATACATTTTTTGTTATATTTTGTTGAAATTCTCTGTGCATCCTGACAGCAATAAACAAATCAAATGGTCTGAAAAACAAAAGAATCTGGTATCGATGGTTGTGGCCCGTCCAGTCTACCTCCGACACCTGCCACCCTGCCTGTCTCCCCGTGTCACTCAGCCCATAAACTCATTGAGCGTCGCATCACCAGTGTTCCACAAGCTGATAGCTTAACAACGGTGAGTACGAACTACAGCCATGGGGGAGTGACTTTGGAGGGAGGCCTGGAGGGACGGGTTGTCATTGTTGTTGACTTCCTCGTTAGATGTAGAGACTTTTAGAGCTAGTGTTGCTAGCTACCTTTATTGGAAAAGAGTTTGCGACACTGAGTTGGGTTTTTGGTTGGATCCTTTTTCTCTTTTTTAAAATCTCGCCTACTAGTTGTAAGAAAACGCCATGTGGGAACGGCTATCGTCTGACGACAATTTAGCTTTTAATCTGCAAAGAAAAGCTTGCAGGTTTGAAAATATATTTAATTACACTGTTTATCACAGCCAGGAGTTGTACAAATAGACATTATCTTTGAATTTTTTACATTTCGAAGGTCCTTGAACACAACATGTGTGATGAACACATCCGTCAGAAAAGGAAACCAAATCGAAGCTTAAAATTGTGACATTTTATCAAAAACACTTTACATGTCTCATTAAAGAAAACTGTCTGCACTAACCAGAACCTGCAAAAGAAACCAACAATACTGAGTTCTAGCCAAGATTGTGATGTTTCTGTAGAGGTGCAGGACTTATACATTGCTGTGAAAAAACGAGGCCACAGTGAGTGAAGACAGGAGCTGAAACCTGCTGACTACTAAGTAACAATCTGTTATTAGACGTCGTCTCAGGCTGGTTATCGGACTGGAAACAACGATCAGGAAGTCTTGGCCCGGATATACACTGGCTACACTGGAACCCAAAAAACCGTGGTCAGATGATAGACGGATAGATGAGTTGCTGTGGTAATATCACTGAAGTCAGCATGTCTTAGTTTCAACAGGCCATTGCTCCTCTGCTATGATCATGAATTATTCCTAGCTTTCTAGTATATCTCTGAATGTGAAACACGGCTGGTAACCTTTATGTCGTTGCTCCCCACAGCGATGCCGATCTCAGCCAGGTCTTTGAGTAATGATGACATCATCTCAGTCACCCTCTTCCTCTGGTGGTTGGTCATCTCCTTCAGCTTCTGGAGTTCAGAATCAATGGAGGCCAAGGAGCTCTGGTGGTGGATGAGAACATAAACCAATACAAACCTTACGAGGTTATCACGTGTAACCGGCGTGATCGTTTCCAAAGGATTCATATGAAAAGTACCGATTTCTCGTTCAGCTCCTCACTGAGGGCCTCAAACTCCTGCGCCTTGTCCTCGACTTCCTGACTCTTCTGGTCGTAGTTGACGGCCAGCTCCTCCAGGGCCTGCAGCACCTCCTTCACCTCCTCCTTGGAGGCTTCGTTCTCCGCCAGCAGCCGGTTCAGCTCTGTCTGCAGGATGTCGTGGTCACGGCGGGAGGAGCCCAAGAGCTACAGGTGAGGATAGGGAGCGAAGATAAGACAGGGACGCTCAGCCGAGGAAAGGGGCTGAAAGGGGAGTGACGTTCACAACAGGATCTACTAAACACATTTCTGCACTAGCTAAAAAAAATAAAAAGTTCAATCTGCAAGGCTCCACTGTTGCTTTCTAGGTGTGAGCTACACTCTGACCTCTCCTGCAGGGCTACTAATGGTCTGCTATTAGCTGTCACACTGGGTTTGTGCTAACAGGAACAGCTGGAGGGGCTGAGACGCAGGAAGGGAAGGGAGGGTAAGAAGGGGAAGAAGGGGAGCAGTTTCACCTCCTCCTGGTCCAACATCTGCTGCTCCAGCGACTCCAACAGCTGAGACTGCTGGTTGATCTCGTCGTCCTGGAGGAGCGTGAGGACGGTGGAGAGGAGGGAGGAAAAGAAAAGAATAATGCACTCATCACTCGTTTATTTCCACCTGAAACACTGGCAACACCGAACAGCGGCCAATCACGCCATCTGCTGACCAATAGAGACACGACATGTAAGAAGGATTGTCCAATTAGAAATGTTACGTATAACATGACATCCTAACGTCATACTGTTGATCTTAATAGATAGACATTATGTCGATTATTAGTACTTCCAACATAGTTCATCAATAGACATGTGAAACATTTTGTGCCATTTATTTATTTTTCAACACAGGTTAATATTGTGATTTAGTTATTATAATAGAGTCCCTAACAGCAGCTGTGGTGTGGACATCTCTGCATGCTCAGTTACAGGATGGCTGTGTGGCTCTGTTAGCTATAAGATTTAGGTGAGAGTGAAAAGGAATTCACTTTACATTGTTTTGCTTCATAGATGGTGAATAAAGCAGCTTCTTATCGTTGGACTATTATCCAAACTTATTTGTTGGCGATTAAATGTTCTTTGTCCAGTCCGAGACATGTCCAAGTCCAGTCCGAGACATGTCCAAGTCAAGTCCGGGACATGTCCAAGTCCAGTCCGAGACATGTCCAAGTCAAGTCCGGGACATGTCCAAGTCCAGTCCGAGACATGTCCAAGACATGTCCAAGTCAAGTCCGAGACATTATCGTTGGACTATTATCCAAACTTATTTGTTGGCGATTAAATGTTCTTTGTCCAGTCCGAGACATGTCTAAGTCAAGTCCGGGACATGTCCAAGTCCAGTCTGAGACATGTCCAAGTCCAGTCCCAAGTCAAGTCTGAGACATGTCCAAGTCTAGTCCGAGACATGTCCAAGTCAAGTCCGGGACATGTCCAAGTCCAGTCCGAGACATGTCCAAGTCAAGTCCCAGGTTAAGTCTGAGACATGTCCAAGTCCAGTCCCAAGTCATCCTGTTGTCTTAGTGACAGTAGCGGGACCAAATAATATCACTTGGAAAGTGATCTGTCTATTGTTACCTTAAAGTCATGTGGAGTCTTTTTGGACTTCATCAAATCAGGATTAAAGTCGCCATAATCATGACTTGAGTACACACTTCTGATTTGGTGTCTTTTTAACAAACATTCAGTCCGACTATATTGTATTTTAGATTTTGTTGTTTCTTTTTTTAACGTATTTATTATATCTTTAGTGTGTGATTACATATTTATTACACTTGTTTTGATCTTGTTTTCCTACTTATGTCTCGTGTTTGTTTGTTTGCACTGTCCTCTATGCTGCTGTAATCCTGCAGATGTCCCCGCTGTGGGACTAATAAAGGATTATATTATATTATATTATTATCTTTTCTTATCTTTTAAGTCCATGTGTGTGGCTGGGCTCGTGCATGTGCATGACACTAATAACCACCACCAAAAACAACTAAAATATGTAATAACAGAATAAACATATGCACTAAAATGATTCATACCGTTATTATTAAACAATATTAGCATATCTTGCCTAAAGGGATGTTAAGTTGAGTGTATTAGTAAAGCATTAATACCATTAACAGAACCCTACCGATACATTTGCATCTGCATGGACGGGTACCTTCCATTGATCACTTGAGGAATCAGGATAAGCAGTGGATGGCTTTATGTCAACCGCAGCATAATAATGATCACTACTTAAGTTTTGATGTTATTTTCGGTGGTATTGTTGGGACTGATTCATTCACCTGACATTGATATTTTGTCCGATTAAGAACAACTGATCAATAACATTCGTGCTTGAACTATGAATCCACACATGAACTCAACGCCGGAAGAAAACGCTGGGTGTGTGTGTGTGTGGGTGTGTGTGTGTATGTGTGTGTGTGTACACCGCCCCACACTTCCTAGCACGCCTCCCTCACCTTGTCATCCAGCTCTTTGTAGAGCTTGGCCATTTCGGCGCCGTACTTCTGCGTCTCTGCCTCGGTGAGTTTGACCCCAGGGAGGGTGCTGAGGGCCGGCGCGGGTGCCGTCTTATCGTTGTTGAGGGTGCTGTCCAGGGCCTGGACCTTTGCTTTGGCCTTCTCTTTGTCGAACTGATCCTCCACCGGCACACTCTCTCCTGCGCGGGGGGGGGGGGTTATGTAATGCAGACGTGATCATGCAAAGAGAACTAGACATTGCTGATGGGGAAACAAAGGATTCTTTCTTAAAGCATGTCCTTCAAGTCTAAAATAGGACCAATGAGTGATTCAGCTCTTTGGAGCATGTCTGAGTGATGAAACCTTCTGTTTGTTTTTAAGCTTCTTTTTTTCCATCTCATTCAAACCAGTCATGATTATCTTTCGTTTACAGCAAATGGAAGATTCCTACACTGTACTTAAATATATGATAGGACCAAGTAGGCAGAATTCTCCTCAATAATTCCTAAAATACATCCTAGAGTCTTTTGTTTGAATGTCATAATGCAGCGTATGTAGCAGATAGAAGTGTGAGAAGCTGTTGGATGGTGGAGTCCTCACCGCTCCTCCAGCGGTTGAGCTCGGCCTCCAGCCAGGTGACGGTGTTTTTCAGCGTCTTGTTCTTCTCGTTCTCTCTCTCCCACTTCTTCTTCCACTGCTCCGTGGTCAGCTCCACGTTCAGGGTCACGGTGTTCTTGATGGTCTTTGCCCTGGTGAGACAGGACGATAGTGATCACCAGAACCAGCCGCTGGTTTCACCGCAGCACACGCCGACAGTTTAGCATTAACTGGCTCCTTCAGATCACTGGGGGGGTCACAGGTGAGATACCCAACCCATGTGGCTCTGTCAAATGTGTGTCACTTATTTAAAAGACATTTTTGAAAATATTGACTTTCCTGCCCAGAGTTAGATTGAGGAGACCGATACCACTCTCATGTTAGGAAGCTAAATACGAAGCTAAAGCCAGCAGGTGGTTAGCTTAGCCAAAGCTAAGACGCTGTGATCAATCCCTGGTGCCCACTGGTGCCAGAACAAGAGCATGATCCCTCACTGGCTTCCCACACAAACCTACGCAGTGTTGGGTACGTTTTTTTTTTGTCTTTGTGACTAATCATTTCAGGGGAGTTATGAAAATGTTTAATTTGACCAAAACTGCTACAATTCTCATCTCATGTCCTCAACTCTTTTTTTAATTGTCACCACAGCAATGGAATGACCTTTAACCGGCTGTGAACAACACAAGCGGGCCATTGGATGCAACAATAGAGCGATGCACTGACCCGATACGCTGGACTGCCCTCATATTACCAAGCAGGAAAATGATTCCCATGCAGAGTGGTTCACAGGTTGTGATGCGTGTGTGTGTACCTCTGTCCAAACATCAGCGTGGACCTGGTCTCAGCGTCATTGAAAGCGGACGGTGAGCAGCAGATGACCATGGTGGTCCGACAGTTCCCTCCCAGGGAGTCCTGTAGGATCCTGGTCATCTTACTGTCTCTGTACGGCACGTAGCTCTGACAGAGGACGCAAGTTACAATCCTGCTCGGGTCGTTTATCAACACAGAATGGCATCATGTCATCATTTTCAAAGGTATATGTTTTAGATGACACATCATTATCACTCATTTAAAACAAATATATATATACAAGAACCTCAGCTGGAGGCCAAATGGAACAACTTTGAAATGATTTTAGACGGTTTACATCATTCTCCTTTCTAGGAATCCTAATCATACACGTTGAACCACATTCTCCCTGTCAGGGCCAAGAAGTGTTTATGTACAAGTGTGTTTATCACTTGCACATCTCACGGAAAAGATGTACTTCCATTTTACTAAATGTTAAAATCCACACTGACCCCTGCGTTTTTATGCTTTGAGTCCATTTTGGTGGTATTTAGTGCAGCATAATGCAAACAGCTGATACGCCGCTGTAGACCCTATTAACCTCTTCTACAGTGATCGATCAAGGCTCTCAGTTTGTCTGTGTGCTCCACCTTTTCCCCTCACGCAGAGAAATGAATACAATCAATCAGTACAATCAAAGTATTTAGTATGTCACAAAGGGATTTAGTAAAGTCCGATGTCTAATGCAGCATGCCAGAAATACCAGGATGTTTGTATTTTTGCAGTATGCAAGTTTGCAAGCTTTTCTGGTTATATTGGCCCACAATCCTTTGTGCAGCACATGTATAAGAAAGTTCAAGGTACCATGTTATGAGGGATTGTAATGTCCCAGTAGAAGGTATACTGCATGGTACCGTGCGTACTTTGTGAGGACGGCTGCAGTATGTACCGGAAGAAAAAAATGATGCATTAGGATCAAGACCCGTTTACGTCTCGCGTTCGATGGGGATTCCCAGTTAAACGCACTAATTAACGGCAGTCCCGAGGACAGCACAGGAACAATCACCCCCCCCCACCCCCTTCAGGAAGAGCTGGCTGTCTCACCGAGCCCTCCGCCAGAGCCGAGATGACATTTCCCAGCGAAGACAGGGACTTGTTGATCATCTTGGCCTCATCCAGCACCGTCCCCTCTGCTCCCGTCTTACCCACCTGTGAAACACACACACACACACACACACACACACACACAGGAGCGTTCTCAAAGAGGATGGGGAGGTGCCGTGCTCACTGAATAACAAGCGGATTAATAAAAGAAGGCTGACAAAGCATGTTAATGGATTTACTGGAGCTTCGTGCTATCCTTGTCTTATTAACGTACTGATGGACCGATTACTACAGTGTTCCCCTGTTGAAAGGAAGCAGCAGCAGTGTGTCATTAAAGTTTCATTATATGAATCCAGTCGATGCAAACTGCAGGAAAAGGCCTGTCCACATCTGAAATGTCAAGTTTAAAGGTGCAGCCTGTGAGATCTGGCCAGGATCTGAGTATAAACATTGGAAAAATGAACTAACTAATATATTGTGTTGCAGAGACATTTACTGAAGTGAGCATGCTAACCAGCTAGCCCAGCAAAGGCACAATGTGCGTGTGCATTGTGATAAGTCTGTTTATGGGATTAAATCCAAAGTGGCAGAAATGTGAAAACATTTCTGCCACGTTTCCTCCTCTACCACCACCAGGAGACTACTTTGCCAGGACGAGGTGGAAATACAAGTCATTTTCTTGTTTCTGCCAATTTGAATTGAATCCAATTAAAACAACTATCTATCAAAGTGTATTCAGCCCGTACAGCGTGTAAGATAGCAGTGTTATTTTGAGTTTCAGCAGTTTAGTTGAACTTTGCGTGGTCTTGCCCTGCTGTCAGTCAGTAGATGGCTTTTTCTTTTTAAATAAGTGATGACAGTACATTTTGATTGCATGGACCCAGTAGTAGAGGGGAAATGCTGCCCCCTAGTTGTTTGGAGCAGGTAGCCAGATCTTACACATTGCACCTTTAAAAAGAAGTAATTAGAATGGCTGTAAAAAACAAAATTATAAAAAATCTTTGCAAAAAGTGTGAGGCAGGAGGAAGGAGGAAGGAGGAGGACGAGTGCAGGATGGAAACACACTTTCTCACTCCCGGCCAGGTCGACGAGGTACAGCTTGCCGGTGAGTTTCTGTCCAGTCTGAGAGTTCTCCTGCTTGATGTTGATGAGGAAGATGCTGTGACTCCTGGAGCTGTGCTCGTTCATGTCTGACATAGAGATGTGCACACACACGCACACACGCACGCACACACACACACACACACGCACGCACGCACGCACACACACGCGCACGCACACGCACGCACGCACACACACACACACACACACACACACACACAATTAGCACTGTGCTAATCCTACCTTTTTAGTATTATTCATGACAAATGATCTATAATTCATATAGTTGTTGGAATGCTGTTAATGCTAATCTTTATTCTTCTTTTTATTATTATATTTCTTCCGTCCCACCTCTTCTGGTCCTTCATATTTTAAGCTACAGAAACCGTTCAACTATCAAAATGTTCAGCTCTTTAATGACATTTATGCTATGACTTTTCATATTTCTATCTCTTATGCTTCATGAATTAGTAAGCTTTTTGCAATTTTTATTTTGAATGGGATTTCAATGGAGAAAATGTTCAAATCCTCTTAAACTTCCAAATCCTTCAACTTCCTCATATTTTCAGCTACAGACACCATTTCAACTTTAAAATGTTGACAAAACCCTGATCTATTGCCATATTATTCAGCATTTTTATATCTTTTACACTTTCTGAACTGCAGCAATTTAACTTTTATGATTTTTTTCAGTCCTTTTCTGACTTCATAATGGGTGTGTATTGCGCAGCTTAGAGTGCGTGATGTCACCGCTAGAGTGAAGAGTAGCTTGAGATTCTTGTGAAAAAAAGATTTGTCTTTTGCCACTGTGTCCACAATCTTTTATAGTAATCTACTATTACTACTATTACTGCTACCATCAATATTATTACTACCACCACTGCTATTACTACCACCACTACTATTACTTATACTACAACTGCTACTACTACTACTGCTATTCATGCTACTAAAAGTAGTAATACTACTACAGCTATTAGTATGACTGCTACTAGTACTACGTCCCACAGAAGCCTGTAATTGAGAGGAAAACCAACTTTCTGCTCCATAGAGACCAATGTTAAATTTTACTTCAAAAACATCTTCCACAGAGCACGGTACCCCATTTCTAGATCGCCAGTTCAGCCACATTTTTTACACTACAGACACAATTTTTACAGGATCTGTTCTTCAACTCATCCTTCCTCTCATTTATTAATATCGGAGCAATAGGAGCTACGGTTATGGGAGTTTTGAGGATTTGTTTGAGAGGTGTTTCCCCGTTTCATCTCCATGAAAAGGCTGCAAGGACACAGGTGTTTCTGATTACATCTGACCACTCATTTCTCAAAGAAAGCAGATGGTACCAGTTTTGTCTATTGCTCTGGAGCTCACATTATTAACACCACAAACATAAAAAACACAGTACCGCGTTCGGCAGAGTCTTATCTTTCTCACGGTATCCATATTTTGGCACTCAGACTCCTGCTTTTCATTAAAAGGGGCTTTGTTCAAAATCACTGTTGACTGTAATGTTTCTTAATCAGTCTGCCTCTAACACCAGGTGCGTCGTCACCATGGCAACCAGTTACACACGCACGCAGGCTCTCTCTCTCTCTGTCTCTCTCTCTCTCATACAGTCATTCAGGTCTTAGAGATTTTAAGAGGACTTTCCACCCCCCCACCCCATTTCAAAATAAAAGCCCCAGAGAGTGAACTCTACCTGAAATGCTTGTGATGAAGCCTGTCATTTAATAACCTCTGTTTATGTGTCAAACATTCTGATTATGTCTCTTCTCCCCCACCCAGTCCCACCCTTTCAAAATAAAAGCCCCACAGAGTGAAATCTAACAGGAATGTTTTTGATGAAGACTGTCATTTAATAACCTCTGTGTTTCATACATTCTGATTATGTCTCCTCTACTTTCTCCCCCACCCAGCCCCACTCTTTCAAAATAAAAGCCTCATGGATTAACTGTATTTAAACGTTAAGCTCAAAATTAGGCTTCTTTGTTGAAAAACGTAATGCTCTGACTGATACTGCGACAACTACTACTGCTGCTGCTAATATAGTATTACTACTACTACTACTACTGCTATTACTTCTACTATAACTTTTGCTGTTGCTACTATTACTACTACTACTACTGCTACTGCTATTACTGCTACCATCAATATTATTACTACCACCACTGCTATTACTACCACTACTACTATTACTTATACTACAACTGCTACTACTACTACTGCTATTCATGCTACTACAAGTAGTATTACTACTACGGCTATTAGTACAACTGCTACTAGTACTACTACTACTGCTACTTCTTCTACTGCCATTACTATTACTAATATAACTACTTCTACTACTACTACTGTTATATTAAATACTATGACCAATACTACAGCTATTACTACGACTACTGATACTACTACTTCTTCTAATTACTAATACTTCTACTAATACTTCTACTACAACTACAACTTCCACTACTACAAATATCACTACAGGACTTTTCCCTTTCAAAATGTTGAGCTCTTTCAGGAGAGGGGTGCTTTGACTTTTCATATTTGTAATCTTTTAACTTTTTGAAATATTAAGCTATTTGCAATTTTTTTTTAATGGGATCTCTGGAGAAAATCTTCAAATCCTGTTAAACTTCTTCAACTTTCAAAGCCTTCTTCTTCTCATACTTTCAGCTACAGACACCATAGTTAGACATTTCAACTAGAAGGGTTTTCAGCAGTGCAGTTTAAATGCTTTCGAGCTTCAACATTTTTCAGACGGGTAGTCTCCCATTTCTTAATTTTCAGCAATTTTTTTACAATTCATTTCAGCTTTCAGCATTCCAACGCATTTTCAGCAGGAAATGCATTTTCTAGTAATACTAATTATTTGTATTAACAATAATATTATTATCAACTATAATTAGTATAAAAACATTGACTCATGAATGTTAATGGCTCTAACAAATGTATTAGTCTATTTATTTGTTTTTAAACACAACCCAAGCCACATTAACATGTAATCTGTTTCTGCACTTTAATTATTTAGCTAATCTATTAAAAACGAGTGTAGAAAGAAGACTCAGGCGGTCGACCCCTGAGACTAAAGACATGTATTTGAAAGTTGATTTGCAAGGGAAACCAGTTGAAATTTCTATATTATTTTAATATTATTTGACCTAAATCATACATTAGGGACTGAATCACAGAGAGGAATCATGTGACGATGATGATGATGTTTTGCAGTGTGAAAGGAGACAGCTATTGTCACAGAGCATGTGCAGTGCTGGTGTGTGCACTGGTGTCACATGCAGCGTATGAGTGTGACACATGTGGCCTTAAGGGACCTTTGAAGCATGAAGAGCAGTTCACTGGTCATGGTGCTCCATGTCATTGGGATGTCTTCAGGGCTGTTATGAATTTACAGCACAAAAACCCTTGAAAGACATGGAAGTGTGCCAGGGAGGGAAGGTCTAATGCTAGCCAGTTGCATTATGGGAAATGTATGAGTCAGTGTTTTTGGAACTTGACTGTGACTGTTCATTAAAAATCTGGATATCTGGACCACAGCTGTCTCAATGTTGAACATGTTTTAATTGTCTTTATTTGTTATGGAGGTGAAATACAAAATCAAGGGAGGACCACATTGGCTCCATGTGCAACATGCAGCTCTAGGCTACTGTAGACAACCAACCTACAGTATTCTGTTGATTGGCCTACTTAAGAATGTTGTGTTCTCTTATTACACAAAAGGCCAATAATACTCAAGATGTAGACGTAAACTGAAGATGAGCAGAGCAAAGACACTGAACCTCACACAGGGACATTCTTTGTGTTCTTATCTTAACTTTCCCTCACTCCTGTCCCTACGGTGGGCTCGTACGAGTTTGCCACCTCAGATTCAGAACAGACAAAAGAAGAACGAACTTTATATTTCCCGAAAGAAATTCTTCTGCCAGAGATTGAGCACAGTAATAAATATGAAGTGTATAAGAAGTAACACTAACACCAGGGTCGAATGGAATAACAATACATGTAAGATAGAAATGTTTAAGATAAGTAAACTAAAATAGAAAAGTAATATTGTGCATGATATTGAGATTAATATAGTCAATGATATTGAAAAAAGTAATAAAAAGTTACATAGGTCATAAACAAACTCTCCAAACTTCAGATAACTGAGTGAACATGATGAATGACACTTTGAGTCCAACTTCCTCTATGAACACTACTCTGTAAAAATAGAGATGTTAAGTCACGAACCTCCGGTTCACCAGCGTGGGACCTGATTCTGGAAATAAATAAATCTTTTTTTACTTTTTTATTTTAGAAGATATTTGCTGTGAAATCAAAGACGACAATTAAGCTCAGCTTAGCAACACTAAGTGTGTTTTATGAGCCACTGACTTCACTCCTCTGTCTTGCTCTGCGTTCAGCACACACACACACAGAGTCTCGGCTGATGGGAGTCTCACTGCAGTCAGGAGACCCGGTGAGGTTGAACCCGTGAGAGGCAGCAGGCCCCGCGGGCGCTCAGCGCCTGAACTCACTTGTGACAGCCACGTGTCTGCAGCTTTTGCCTTCGTCGATGGCATCCATGACCTCATCGGGACAGCTCACAAAGCGCTCGGTACACCCCTGGAGACACACGCAATCACAAGGAGCCGCTGTGTTCAGCGAGCCGACTTCACAGAGAGACAATTATTAACTGAAGAAGGAGAGGACATGCTGATATTTTCAGAGGGAACGTTATGAAGAGAAAACTTATTTTCCTTGTTTTCTTCATCTTTTTAATACTCTCTCTTCATCCGTCCAGCTACTTAAATAAAACTTACACTTGAGAACAACATGAAAGATAAACAAGATCTCATGTTCTACCCAAAGGGACATTTCTCAACGTGTGTCCCACCTTGACATAGGGCACCCTGTTTTTGTCCTCGTGCACAGAGAGGTTGACCTTTGACACTGCGGAGGAGAAGGAAAGCAGACATCAGGTCTGAGACCGTGGTGTTGTTTGCATCGGGGTCTGAATGATGATGATACTAAACCACGAGAGACTTGAAACATACTGTCCAACAAGTCCTTGATTTTGTCCAAATAGATTTCGAAATATGAAACCTGCAAAGAAAAAGCATCCAGTGAGAGTTATCATTGTCATTATGATGTGTACTCGCTGATGCTTTGGTGCATCGAGCTCCCATTGGGAGGTTAACCTACTTTGATGTGAAACTCCAGGTTCTCATCCATGGAGTAGATGTAGTTGAAGATGTCCTCGACAATTCTGGGAATGATTCCCATCATATCTGAGTCGTGGAGTTTCCCCTTCAGGAGACAAGTACATGAAGACGAGACAGCGGGGTATGTTTCAGTCTCTATCTTTTGTTCAGTGGTAACTAGAGAGTGTGTCGTGATAGAATCTTTGTGTGCATGTGATTAACTCCTCATAATAATCTTAACAGCTGTGAAAGACGGGTACTTCGAGACCGGGAGAGGGGTCGCCTGACAGACTTTGAAGAAGGTTTTTCAATCTAGACTACATCGGAGATCATTGTTTCAGAGAAAAATCACCAACTCCATAAAAACTCAAACAATCCAAAAGAATCAATCGGCCGATTAATCAGTTCTTTCGTTCTCCAATCTATCGTTGTTATATCTGCCTTTAAAAATCCGCAGACCCTAAAACACCTGGTAAAGTACTCCAAACCTCCTCTGTGCTAGTTCCTCTTCCTGTATTCTGACACATTTTGGACAAGGTGGAAACAAATATTACCTCCATTGTGTGTGTTTTACCAGAGGACGTCTGCCCGTAGGCAAATATGGTCCCATTGTAGCCCCCCAGAACATCTGTACACACCAAGACAAAGATCAAAGGTTTGGGCTTTTAGTGTGTCAGCCACTTGGACTACATCTGCATCCCACTACTGTACATCTTACCTCTGACAATCTTCTGAGCCACGGCGTTGTAGAATTGCACCTGGGTTGTGTCGGATTGGAACACGCGGTCAAAGTGGTACGGTTTACCCTGTGAAGAGGAGGCAGTGATGAGCACCAGTGACATGAATTCTTCATATTGCTACATAACTCAACATACGTAACTCCACTGTACGTTAGCAGCTCGACAGTCCTGTTTTGATTGCCAGGGGATGTACTTTCAGTTACAAGATGTGCTTTTATCAATGAAGGACGTGTGTAACATGGCTAACGTCCTGTGGTTTGCTTATTTACCACCATGACACTTGTGAGGGAATAAATGACACATTGTTCTTCTTACAGATGAGGAGGTGGATTCATGAGCAGTAAAACATAGCCTTGTTCAATGTGATACCCTCGGAGCTCTGACCAGCAATGTATGGTGGCTAATGTTAGCTAACATTAGCTTTTTTATTTTAGGTAGCTATTCAGGGTTGAATGTCAATATTATTTTTTTTCACTTGCTCTTGCACTTGTCAAGTTTTATCTGTATTTAATTAAATACATCTGAAGTTTTGCCCAAATCCTTTAATGCCACCAAAACCAAACTCCTGTTAGCAGGATAACTGTGATGCTAGCTGACGCTGCTTGTAAACCTTCCGACATCAGCTCCGGTAAAGAAACTGTTTGATTCTTTTTTCACCACTTGCCCGATTGGGCTAGTGTGTTGCTAGATTTACTAGCGAGACCTGGCATTTGACTTCTATTTACGTCTTTTAATCCTTACAGTTGAGGTCTGGTATCGTTGTGTATCTGTAACTGAATCAGCTCACTGATTCTACTTGTGCTACTTTATGTTTTTCAGCACTTAAGCATTTACAATGATTTGTTAAATGACACTAGTAGCCACAGGGGCGGCTATTCAGCTAAAGTTAGCGCCCCAGTAAAGCAACTACAGCACATTAGATACAATATTTAAATTTGACAGAATCATGATTCCCCCATTTTTATTCAGAATATCAGATTCTCTAAGTCTTCCCTCAAAACCGTGAATGCAAACAATGCAGGGTTCAATTTAAGTGATCAGAAATCCGTGCACGTAGATTTCAACGGAAATCATTTTTTGTAAAAGTTGACCCAAGAGAGCTTCAACTTCATATAAGAATGTTCATTCTAAGGTTTAAAGCCAACATCAAACCCCCGCCAGCTGTTCAACACAAATTCACACAAATCAGTGTGCTTCCAATAACGTATGACAAATAAAAACACAGAAGCAAATCAAGCCCGTATAGTCAGCTCCTTGATGAGGAACGGACGAGTCAAAGTATGTAACTACTACAGCGGCCTTTGATACTGCCAGGGACAGAAAATCTAATCTAATCTGGATATTTGAATAACCTAAATGCCTCTGCAACTCACCCGATTTGCATTTCCTGTTTCGGAGACATAGTGATCATGTCGCAGTATTGCATCTTGGCAGCACAACAGAAGGCAGCATCAGACCCCAGCCAACCAACGTCGAATTGGGCAAATATTGTTAGAGAGCAACATCATTGCACACAGTCCCACTGGCTGCTACACACAGCACAAACACAGGTAGAACTCTGTCATTGTAAATGATGTTTGCATTACAATGCAGGTCCTCCACATGCAGGTGAGACGCCGGTTAACGACACTGAAGACAAACACACACATAGACTGTGAGTACAGCTCAGCAGATGCATTAAAGCTGTAGTGCTACTGTTTGACATAGATTCCACCAGCAGCAGGTTAATGTATGTGCACTGCAGAATGAGCTCCCCGGCCCCTGCTCCAACCTGCAGCCCCTATAAACACTGCAATCAAGCTTCATATCAAGAAAAATACATTTACGATTATAAATCTACTGATGCGGATCAAAAATGCTTGTTTGCAAATTAAAAAGTTCTACTTGCTTTTGAATCTGATACTTAAAAAGTGAATGTTGTCACGTCTGGCTCACAGAGAATCTTTCATTTTATTTTTCACATGAAACCCTTGAATGCGAAAGGCTGTCTAACGAGCAACAAACACACAGTTTACCCGTTGGCAGTGAGGAGTTATATTGGAATATTTTGTTGATGGTGTTACTTAACTCAAAGCAACACACATCTGAGATATGATCTGCACTGAATGGGCCGGAGAAACACTGTTGCACATGATATAAGCAGCTATCGGTTGGCCTATGACTGGGAGTCAATGTCACGGAACAAAGCGGTCATTCATTTTTGTTTTCAATAGTCATAAACATCAGGAGTTGTATTTTGCCAAGTAAAATTGTCAATATGATGTAACACCTGCCATATAACAGCTAGAGATTCAACTGATGGTGGTGAAGAGTGCAACATATCTCCCATACTGCACTAGTGCACTAGTGTTGGGATCTGGTGAAATATGATTCACTTATTTTTCATATCCATCAAAGCATCCACCTTGTCCACCTTGTGGAAGATTCTGCGTTTATAACGTTTCTCTACTCATTTGTTTAGGTTTTGCCTTCAATTGTGTCTGGCCTCATTCATTCATTCATTCATTCATTCATTCATTCATTTTCAAACTCATTTTGTCAGATTCATCTCAGATGCTTCATCTTTCATCAGCACAAATACAGCTTTACTATTCAAGGCTTTGGTTTGTCAGCTTCACCTGTGCTACCATGTTAGCGTGCTAGTAGTATATTATATACAAATACATTAGTATGCCAAGGTGAGTGCTAGCCTCAAATTAGCTGGCGTTAGCTTGTGAGGCGGGGGAATTGCAGGTGACGCTGAGTACAAATGAAACGGATGAAAGTTTGTGAAAACTGACAGTTTGACAATATCAAGGTCCATTCCATTCTCCAAACCGCTCCTCCTAGTGATCTATTTACATGTTAAATGTTTAGCAGTCACATTCAATTGCTAGAATGTTGCATTTAGTTTGGTCTGTGTTAACACCCTGGGCTTAAAAGCACTTTATGTTACTTTAACTTCACTTTTTAAAGGTGCGTTTGGTATTTCAGACACCAAAACAGACATTTTTTAAAACCCAAACTAAGGACAACATATATCCGAATGATAACTAACACTTAAATGATAATTGAATGACTTTTACTACATGAAAAGCAGAAGAAGTGCTCAGTTCAGTGTATCTTCGGAACCCAGAGCCGGGAACAGAGAAGCACACTCACCGCAATATGCACACAGTCGTCCCCTTGAAACTTCGGGATGTACTTGTCTCCCCGGGCCACCTCCGAGCTGTTTAGCGGCCTGAAACGGCACACCACTTTGATGGTGGTCTCTGCTGCGGGGTCCGCCATCTCCGCCGCTGCTGTGGCTGGATGGATGGATGGATGGATGGATGGCTGGATGGCTGGATGGATGGATGGATGGATGGATGGATGGCTGGATGGATGGATGGATGGATGGATGGACGGAGCGCTCCGTCCTCCAGTGACGGTTACAGAGACGCTAACCGGCAGCAGGGAGCCGAGAGGGGGAGGCCGCGCCCCTCACAGCAGCAGCTCGGTGCTCAGCTGCTCCAGCTGACTCAGATGAGCTGTGTTGGAGGTCCTCAAAGAAACACCTGATGATCGCATGTTTTATAAAGACCAGCTGTGTTACGGGACATACAATGAGAGAGAAAAAACATATCAGCGATGAAAATAAAATATCAACGTTGCGTTAAAGTTAATGCCACGACATGGCAACATGCCGATGAAGCAGGGGAGACCGGGGGCAATTTTAACGCACTAAATTCCTCCAATCAGAAACAAGCTTGAGTGACGACACTGTCTCGTGCTCGGTAGGATTGTCTTTCTGCCAGCGGAGAAGGAACCGGATAATTTCAACAACAAAACATGTATTTTGAGGTAAAAAGTTACTTTTTCGATGGACAATGTTTTCTTCTGCTGTGAAGCTCTGGATCTTCTGAATGCAAATATCAATGCTCAAGAATATAATTAAATAAATCATCTTAAAGGATGAATAGTCTAGTGTTTGATAATATATGAATGTATTTATAAGACATAATCTTAGGCTGTGGGAAGATATGTATATTTTCCACTATTTTATGACATTTATCAAATAAAATAAAATATATGTAATCAGAATCAGAATCAGAATCAGCTTTATTGGCCATGTACGCTTACGCATATGTAACAGAGTTAATGATTCCACTTGCCATCACTGGCCATTGGTTGCTAGTATTACTATATTATTTAAGTTATTGCTAATCCTTATCATTTTCATATTATTTCCTCTTTTAAATATCATTTACAACTTGTTGTTATTAGCTCCCCACGGAGACCAGTAGATGTGTGTAACATTAGCGCCCTCTGCTGGCTGCTTGCAGACTTTAGTGGTGCGGCTTAACTAACGTTAGTCTGAAGCAAGCCGTCTCCGTGGTAGGTTGATCTGTGACAAGCTCCGTTGTGAAACATCTCATTCGATATCTGAGATACATATATATAGAGAGATATCTGTATAAGCCCTTTTGTTCGTATAATTGTTTTAATTTATAATTTCTAGAGCAAATGTTTTTAACTGATAACTGATTTAGCATTAGTAACATGCTAACAACAGCTAGCTTAAGTATTGGTCTCTTTAATTTGACAGTGTTCCGGAGCTTGTGACCACGACGTGTCCGTGAGAGTAACTGAAGCTGTTCTGTCTGTTACCAGCTATCTATATGCTGTCCTATGAATAAACGTCTGGTTAAACATTTAACAGCTATATACAATATAAGTATAAATATATATCCGAGAGAAAAAGTGTATATATATACATGTGAACATAAACCTATAGACAATGGCATGAATTATAAGTGGTGGTAATAGTGCAGTATAACTTATTTATTGTTCATGAGAGTGACGGCCAGTGGAAAGAAGCTGTTCCTGTGTCTGGTGGTTTTGGCGTACAGAGCCCTGTAGCGCCTACCAGAGGGGAGGATTTGGAACAGCTTGTGTCCAGGGTGTGAGGGGTCTGCAGAGATCTTTCAGCCCGTTTCCTGACTCTGGAGGTGTACAAGTCCAGGATGGAGGGCAGGCTGGAACCAATGATTCTCTCTGCAGACCTGACAACCGTTGCAGTCTGTTCCTGTCCTGTTTGGTGGCTGATCCAAACCACACAGTGATGGAGGAACAGAGAACAGACTGGATGATGGTGGAGCAGAACAGGATCAGCAGCTCCTGAGGCAGGTTGAAGTACAACCTCTGCTGGGCCTTTTTTCTGATGCTGATGCTTTTTTCAGGTCCACTTCAGGTCCTGGGAGATTGTGGATCCCAGAAACTTGAAGGTCTCCACAGCAGACAGTGTTGTTGAGTATGGTGAGGGGGGGGCAGTGTTGGGGGGCTCCTCCTGAAGTCCACTGTCATCTCCACAGTTTTGAGCTTGTTTAGCTCCAGGTTGTTCTGACCACACCAGAGGACCCGCTGTTCAACCTCCTGTCTGTACGCAGACTCATCACCGCCCCCGATGAGGCCGATGACCGTTGTGTCGTCTGCGAACTTCAGGAGTTTAACAGATGGGTCCTCTGAGGTGCAGTCGTTGGTGTAGTGGGGGAAGAGCAGTGGGGAGAGAGCACACCCCTGGGGGGCGCCAGTGTGATAGTCCGGGTACTGGATGGGATTTTTCCCAGCCTCACCTGCTGCGTCCTGTCAGTCAGGAAGTTTGTGATCCACTGACAGGTGGAGGCTGGCACAGTGAGCTGGGAGAGTTTGGGTTGGAATATTGCTGGGATGATGGTGTTGAACGCTCAGCTGAAGTCCACGAACAGAACCCTTGCATATGACCTTGGGGAGTCGAGGTGTTGCAGCATGTAGTGCAGTCCCATGTTGACTGCATCATCCACCGACCTGTTTGCACGGTAGGCAAACTGCAGGGGGTCCAGCAGGGGCCCAGTGATGTCCTTCAGATGGGTCAACACCAGTTTCTCAAAGGATTTCATGACCACAGACTTCAGGGCGACGGGCCTGTAGTCATTCAATCCTGTGATGGAGGATTTCTTGGGAACCGGGATGATCGTGGAGCGTTTGAAGCAGGAGGGGACTTCACACAGCTCCAGTGATCGGTTGAAGATCTGTGTGAAGATGGGGCCAGCTGGTCAGCACAGACTTTCAGGCAGGAAGGGGACACACCGTCTGGGCCTGGTGCCTTCCTGATCTTCTGTCTGTGGAAGAGCCGACTCACATCCTCCTCACAGATCCTCAGTGCTGGTGGGGGGTCGGTTGGGAGAGGTGAGGAGGAGGCAGCAGGTGTAGATGGTTGTTTGATGGTGGGGGGTGTGAAAGTGGACTTATCAAACCTGCAATAGAAAAAATTCAGGTCGTCAGCCAGTTGGTGATTGGCCTCAGTGGGGGGGGGGGGGGGGGGGGCTCCTGTAGTTGGTGAGTACTTCCAGGTCTCTCCAAACTGACGAGGGGTCGTTGGCTGAAACCTTTTTCTCCAGCTTTTGAAACTAGACTACTTGGAAAATCTCAATCTGTAAAACCGCATTTGATTAAATCAGAAGTTTCAGGCTTTTCTTATTCTTTTGTAGTGTATATGTATACAAAGGAAATTCATTCATAACATTTACCAAGAATATGTTGTCATAAAAAACAATGAACTAATCTTTTAAACATATTTTTAATTTGAAGAATTCCCATTAGCGAATACTGCAGCAATTACTTGTTCTGGATTTCAAAGTTTGCAAACATGTGTTCAGCAGCCAGCAGGGGTCAGCAGAGACTCTCCACATGTCTGCAGCCAAGGAGAAGCTGAAGGACTCCTGGTCCTCCCATGAAACAACAAACAAGCCTTTGAGCAGCAGCAGGTGTTTCTGTATCATTTACATCTCAGAGCCGCATGCATGCAGAGACAAAGTGAGACAATCTAATGAAAAGCATTGTTTTTCATGCGCTGGTGAGATTTTGGGCTATTTTGCTCCCATAACTCTCATCGTCTTTAAAAAGAGTGGAAAGAAAACATCCAAAACACACAGTTAGGGGTTTATTTCACTACCGTATCTATTTGAGTCTGTAGATTTCTCCTAAATTCACCAACAGTTACCATCAGATAATGCCTCATTAGCATATTTAAACATAACATCGCAGAAAACTTATAATGAAAAAAAAACCAATTGTTTTAATGTAAGTAATTAACTGGGGAAGCTTCATGGTGACATCAGTTACTAAATAGTTTTACCTTATTCAGCTGTAGTGTCTTTAAAACATACGTCATTTTACAAAACACATCTTTAAAATGAGTTTTTGATCCATAAATCTCCTCTTCAGCAGCGCTTACATACACCAAACTTTACTGTTCATTCCTCTCTATACACAGAGGGGTTTGCTCACATATAATTCATATCCTGATTTATACAACATTATATTCCCACAAACATGACCAAAATATATATGTTTAAATGATTGCTGACAGTATTGTTTGATTGATGGAGTGATATCCAGTAGAAACCTCTGACTATAATATATCAACTATACAACCCCAACATGTGAACCGGTCTTCAGTGTTCAATAAGATGATGCTTCATTTGCATATCTAAACATATATTTTCAGATAGAAATAATCCACTGAGGGAGTTTCATGGCGATATCTATAAGTTCAAATGTTCACTATTCTCCTGGAGCATCTCCCCTTAAATGTGTTCAGCTGGCATCCATGCAACCAAATGATATTCATAAGAAAGTCAAATTAGAGTCTTTATGGATTTACATATTGTTTTATTCCATAGAAACTGCAGCATGAGACAAGTGCTGCAGCTGTAAACCATGTCACACACTCTCACACACACACACACACACACACACACACACACACACACACACACACAGGTACAGGGAGATGAGACACTGAGGCAGGAGTCACACAGCCAATGAAAAGAGAGAGAGGGGGAGGGGACGGCGTTATTTGACAGAAGTGCACCATCAGACTTTACAGCACGCAGTGAACTCAGAAGGGCTTCTATTGCTGTGACATGGGACCACCTCCTAAAAATGTCATGTCGCTCATAACGGGTAGAAAATACGAACAATTCCTACGGGAAGTATACATTCTCTAGATTAAAACCCATAAGGACGCGTTTGAGAGCTCAAAGTACAGTAGACAGAGCAGCAGTCAGCATCTCTAAACCAGCTGAGGAAAGGCTTTCACTACCTCTATCTCACTTCTATTAAAGGGTGCTTGGTTACTTCTGTCCTGGTTACTAAAGTACTTAGAGAGGAGAGGAGGAGAGGAGAGGTGATGAGGGGAGATGAGAGGTGATGAGGGGAGAGGAGAGGTGATGAGGGGAGAGGAGAGGAGATGAGGGGAGATGAGAGGTGATGAGGAGAGGAGAGGTGATGAGGGGAGAGGAGATGAGGGGAGAGGAGAGGAGATGAGGGGAGATGAGAGGTCATGAGGGGAGAGGAGAGGAGATGAGGGGAGAAGAGGTTTTGAGGGAAGGTCTGAGGGAGCATGACCTTGTCCTCCAGGCTTCAACCTGACTCCCACTAGATATAAAAGAGGGTGAGAGAGAGAGGGAGGGGAGATAAGAGACAGAATGAAAGGAGAAACTGATGTTGCGGGCTACCCCGTGAAGAAGACTGATCAGTGAAGAGCAGATCACAAAGCGTCATCTTTTCTCACCACTCACTGACCCTCTGACCAGTCAGTCAGAGAACGAGGGGGGAGGAGGGGGAGAGTGCTGAAGTGAGGGCAGTGTGTTACTGTGTTACTGTGTGAGGGGAAAGAAAGGAGAGAGAAGAAGAAAGGACCTAGTTTCCACAACGAGGCATCCGGTTGCTAAGTAACGGTCTCCAAGGGCAGATGAAGCCCCTCTTTGAGTTTGTTCGCCTCCAAAATGAACCATTTCTCATGAGCGATCCATGCATACATGTCAACAATAAGCAGTAGACGGTTATGAGTATGAAGGTGGTGATGTGAGAGCATCGTAACGGGTACTGAAGAAAGGAAATTAAGTCTTTTGCTGTTATTTTGCTGCTGAAGGAAAAAGCCCTCTGGTTCACCACAGCACCCGGGGAAGCTGCTGAGGATGAGTCTGCTGAGCTGTTTGACTTCCTCTCCATGGAGGAGGAGGAGGAGGAGGAGTCGTCTGTGTGGATACGGATACGGATAAACCAGCTACAAACCGAGAGTGAATCCAAAGGTGATGTTGTGAGTCACTGTTGCGTCTGAAACATCTTTTGCCTGGCACTACAGAACACGTGCATTATGTAGCTCTATATCAAGTGTAAACCACATTGTGTAAAAGTCATGTAAATCGGATGGTGTTTGTCAAAAAATGCAGATTTCCTTTCGCCAGCAGGTGGCGCTGTGAGTATTAGGGGAAATTATCTTGTAGACATCCTCAGGCCATGAGTGTTATCAAGCATGTGAAGTTTGGGACCTTTGGAAGAAGTCCAGCTGAGTTACATCAGACATTTCCTTTAGCCAGTAGGCTTTGCGGGTTTACTGTAGCGCCCCCTAGTGGTCGAATGCAAAAAAATTCTCAGGGTATGTTACTGGATGCGATGTGCACATATGCTGAATATTTTGGGAATTTAGAAAAAATGGTTGAGAAGTTATGTGAATTGATATTTTGCCACGCCCCTAAGAAGTGTATTGGTCCATATCTTTTAAACGCAAAGAGATATCAAAAAGATTTTGATAACTTTTGATGATCTAGATCCAATTATGATCCACAGTAAATTTCGTAGAAATCGGAGCCAGCATGTAGGAGTTCGCAAAAATGTGGTTTTTTTCACTAAATTCAAAATGGCTGACTTCTGGTTGGGTTTAGAGCTTAGAGCTCCGGGGGCTTTTTTGTCAGTCTACATGTGATACATCTGTTTACCAAATGTATATATAGATAGTGAATCATACTGCGAGGGCTGCATCGTCGAAATATTGTATAAATTCATACAAAATTGAAAATGGCCGACTTCCTGTAGGGTTTGGAGCATGGTCCAAAGAGACTTTTCTTTAAGTCTCCATAGGACACATGTGCCTACCAAGCTTCATATATGTAGCCAAAACGTAGCGCTGGGGCTGCTCTTTTGAAATATTGTAGGGGGCGCTATAGAGGCAATTTAAAACAGCCAATAAAGAAAATCATATAAACTATTTCTTCATATGACTTGTGACACATGTACAAAGTTCCATGAGTTTTTGAGCATCCCAACACACTAAACCATCAGCTTCCTTTTTCATGGCGAACGATGCGTTGCCACGGCAACAGCGTTCAACAAAAACTCACAATATTCATGATGATGCATCATCAATGTCTTAAGGCTATCCTTACCAAATTTTAGACTAATCAGGTCACCTGGCTAGGAGGTGTAAATAAAAGTATAGAATATGACATTTCCTTTAGCCAGTAGGCGGCCCTATGAGTTATTGAATTGTTTTCAATTGAAATATGTTCAAGCTTGAAGTAGCATCATGCATAAGACGTTTTGTGCAGATTGGATAATGTACCTTGGAGTTATAACAACTTATAAGAACTTATTTTTTCATAAACAATGAGGCAAAATGGCCGCCACGTCAAGGTTCTTTGATGAAAACTCTATTTTGATAACTTTTAATCACAAAGGTCTTAAGAGCATCCTGACCTAAGTAGAAGTTGATCGCTTAAAATCTGTAGGAGGAGTTCGTTAAAGTGCGAAGGCTGAAATCTGCAAAAAGTGACAAAAAGCACAACTTCACGGGTTTACTGTAGCGCCCCCTAGTTGTTGAATGCAAAATAAATCTCAGGGTATGTTAGAGGACGCAATGTGCACATATGCTGAAAATCTGGTAATTTTAGGACATACGGTTGAGAAGTTATATGTATTGATATTAAGCCACGCCCCTAAGAAGTTTATTGGTACACATCTTGTAAACGAAAAGAGATATCAAAAAGCTTTTGATAACTTTTGATGATGTAGATCCAGTAATGATCCACAGCAAATTTGGTAGTAATGGGACTAAGCATGTAGGAGGAGTTCGCAGAAATGTGTTTTACACTAAATTCAATATGGCGGAAAATCTAAGTAGGCGGAGCTGAAGGGTCTGATTGGCTTTTATGTAGCTCTAGCTCAAGTGAACATGTGTGTTGAATTTCAAGTCAATCGGACATACTGGCCGAGGGGCGTCGCCGGTCCGACTTGTAGGGGGCGCTAGAGAGCCATTGCTTAACACAGAAAGATGCATTCTTTTTCAGATGGCTATTTTCACCAGGCCTGACAAGTCCCCAAAATTTGGTGAGTTTTCATGCATGGCAAGTCCTCCAACCATGCGTACGTTTACCTAAACGGGTACAATTTCAATAGGGCCTTCGCTGGCCCGACGTTGTCGGTTGCTTGGGCCCTAATAACCGTGGCAGAAAATGGATCTCAGTGGTGAAGCAAGTGGAAACAAATGATTAACGATTATGATTTGTGTGTGTGACCATGTAAATGTTAACGGTGGGACTTTTCCTCTGCAGGAGACACAGTATTAGACCGGTGGACTCAACCAGTCGCAGGGCTCGGGGGCTAATGTCAGACGCTCACCTTAGGTTCCCCGTACGGGTCCGTCGGCCAACCAGTGGGAGATAATTTACATCCAAGTCAGAAACAACAGCCAGAGGCTATTCCAGCACAGAGCCATGAATCACACAGTCATAGAGCATGTTCACAGGCCTGAGTCTATATGCAGATTTGATAAGGCGCTCGGTACACACGGGGCAATCGTGTAACTTGAGTTATCTTAAGAGCGATAGCTTATCAGTGTTGGACTCGGACTAGTTAGCCGGGGTGTTTACGGCGTGAAGCTTTACATAACAGCGTTAAAAGAAGAGCTTGTTTTGGTCAATAATTCACAGACGGGGACGAGAAGATGAACGCTCCAAGGCCTCAGTCTGCTGCCGCTCTCCCAAACACACTGCAGGTCAGTCCGTCAAAAACAACCTTCAACAGCAAAGAATACAGAAAACAAAGAATAAGCTCCTTGGTTTTTACAAATAAAATACATACAGTACTTGTTTATTCCTTTAGACAAATGCATATTGTTTCATCATGTTTTCATATGTACATTTTCAGTAGTCGTTACACACGATAGTATCTCAGCAGAGTTTAAGAGTTTAAAAAAAAGGGGGGGGGGGACAGAGATGCGTTCAAAGAGAAGATCAATCTTTTGGCTTGTAGGTCGGTGCTGTTCTCTCAGCTGCACAGATACTAAAGCTGGAGTCACACTGGATCTCAGCCTGTGAGTGTGAGTGACCGGGAGTAGAACACAACGTGTGGTTGGATTTTCTGCGACTGCAAAACTGATCCAAACACAGAGAGTCAGGTGGGATGTCTGCATGCATGGTAGAAATCACACATTTCAATTGGAATCACAGTTGCGATTTAAAAGCTGCGGCGCTAGTGTCTTCTTCATTGGCTCTCTTTACTAATTATATGGTCTTCTAATGGAATGCTGTTGCACTGTTCTAAAGATAAGGGCGCTGATATTCTATCACTTCTCACTCGAGCACTAAATGTGTAGTTTACATCTTCAATATGACTCAAAGGGCTCGGGGCCCCGTTCCACAGACATGTTAATAGGAACGTAGAATAACACCAGCCGTAACCTTTAACACCTATAACGGAAACTAGAAGAGATGCAAAGTTTACAGTCTTACTGTAGGTGTGAGTCCAAACTGAACTTGTATGTGAAGCAGACTGACATACCTGCATTCCACTGTGCATGTTAAAGAAGCTCTATAAAGCATGCTATATGCTCAACCACTGTGGCTTGATGCAAGTGTGAACCCATTGCATTGCAATATCAAGATCAAACCCTCACACTGCTCTGCATTTACTCGCAACTTAGTGCAAGACTGTAATCATAGCCACACTTCAGGCTCAGTGCAGGTATGCACACAGAGAATGTTATGCATCATGGCCATGCTTCATGACAATAGAAAACGCACAAAATAAATAAGAAGAACACCAAAGCATCACTGCACTAGCCACTCATACAGGACTCGCAAACTGATGCACAGGCTACTGTTACTGCATAAAGGCACACCAGAGTGTGTTTCCACCCTTAACAAAGGTGTGTCTGCTGCTGCCTGCAGCCTGGATATATTGCATACGCCAAACAGAGGGTAAACCCCTCTGAACAACCCACCAGCCAAACTATTGATTTCTTTACTCTCTTGTTTCACGCACGCACGCGCACGCACACACACACACACACACACACACACACACACACACACACACACACAGAGAGGAAGCATACAGAGCAGGAAGATGCACGCAGATTTTCTTTTCAAGACATTCACTTGGTAAAACTAGCAAGTACTTCAGACTACAGCAACAATACGGCGGCACAGTTTCAACTGAGAGGACTATAGTTCCTCCTTGGCTGTCCTCGTTTGGACCCACAGTGTAAGGAGTTGTCTTCCAGACCCAGTCATAGTAGAAGAGAAGCAGAAACGCGAGGCGCAATATCCTTATGGTCAAGCAGAACACAGTAGCATTAGTCTCACTCCCTGCTCTGCCTTCGCTGTATGAATCAGTTTTAATTACAAGTGTCTCCTTGGAAGGACTCAAGTCTTTTAAAAGCAAAGAAAGGAAAGGCTTCCTTATAAATAAAGGTTAGATTATTGATCACATTGCGGTTCCTCTACTGCTCAGGGCATCCAGCCATCTCAAAGGGTTCCGCCCATCAGCCGGATACTAACAGTAGAGTGACATCCTACTCCGCCGCATGGCCTCGCTGATCAAATAGGCCGGGCTGATCTCCGGTTCCTCTGTCATCACCACAATGTTCTGCCACTCTCCACACTGGTTGGACTTCTTGATGGTATCCACCACGCAAAGCGCGTAAAGACAATCCTCAAAGGTAGCGGCCATGGTCAGAGGCCTCCCGTCCCACGTCCGCCTGTCGTCCTGGTCCTGAAAGGCCTGCCGCACAGCCTGGATCATGCGGATTGTTCCGGTAAGATACGGTGACGGAATGTCACTGAAGGCCTTCTCCGGTAATGAGGCATTCTCAAGAGGCGTTGTGTCTTTGAGCAGGAGTTCAGGACCTCCACCGCTTTCTCCGCCTTCGCAGATCTTCTGTCCGTACAGGTCGGTCCCCGTGACCGTTAACCTTCCGACCGTCCCCACAACGATCACCTCCTGCCGAAACTCCCCAGGCATGTTGAAGTTGAGCGTGACGGTGCAGCAGGCGCCGCCCTCCAGAGCCATCTGGAAAGTGCAGAAGTCGTCACTGGTGATCTGACGGATGCCCCGGATGTGATCCGTTTGCTTAACAAAGGTCTTGAGGAAACCATGGACCTTTGCTGCACGCTGACCAGTCAGAAACGTAAGCAAGTCGATGATGTAACTGCCCACCGAATGCAGACCGCCACCTCCCATCAGGTCATCGCAGCTCCAGTTGTATTTCTTCCCCAGGAGACTACCGCTGTGGACCTTGAGGGCAAAGATTTAAAACTATATTAGATCTTTTTTTCACTTGAATGTGATCAGGACTACAGAAGTATCTGAGGTCAAATCTTGTGTCAGAAAGTACCCACAGTGCAATAGTGACTTTGAGCGAGACACCGATATCTTGCAAGTTCAGAAAGTATCACATTGTTGTCATTATTATAGATTTAGGCTTACCTGCGCCTCACAGACCAGGAGCTCCCCGATGTAGCCCTCCTCTAACAGCTCCTTCATTCGAACAAAGGCCGGCAAGAAACGCAACACATTTCCCATAATGCTCAGCAACTTGGGGTAGTACTGGGCCGCTGACATCATTCGGAAGGCATCCAGAGGCGTTGCTGTCCGGTCGCAGATGACGTTCTTTCCGATACCTTTTCAAAGAGAGGAGAGACAGTTGGGAATGAGCCATGTGAGCTTTGTTCATCTTTTCTGTCAATGTTGAGATGAACGAGGGGGTAGGGGACAAGAGTGGAGGAGACAGAGAAGTAATGCAGTCAGCCATAATATCCTCTTGAGCATGAAAACATTCCCTCACGAAACAATGCAGAGCAGCAAAATGTGGCAACTCCCACAATAGCTGAGTCAAGAATTACCACACTTTCTGGGCTTCCTCCCTGAGTCATGGGAACTTAATGACAAAGGGGATGACTTGCAAAAAGACACAACATACTGTATATGTACTGTATTTAGTCAACATTATTATCATTAGCAAAATGTTAGGGAGACTGCTTATTGATGCAGGCTACCCTGCTAAAATTAGCTAAATCTTGCGAGGATAAAATCTGTATCCCTGAACGCCGAAAGAAAGGGGTTTACTGTTGGCAGGCATGGAAGATGTTACAGTCATAACTATGTGGTGTATGGTGAGACTGCACAGCTTGGAGAGCTCTAGACAGGCTTCGCTGGTATTACAGGAGGCCTGATGGAAGGCTGATAACAAAAGACGAGCCCAGCAGGTGCATAGGAGATTGAGAAGGGAGGCGATAAAGAGCCTGTTGGCGCTGTATGAAACCTAATTAAAATCACTTCCAGCACATTGAAAGGTCCACTGGTGCCAGCAACACCCAAACACAACGGAGAGAACAGGATGCTGCAGTAATGTGAGGAGAGACAGACAGAAACATTTAGTTTTTTCTATAATGCCTTTTTACTGGACAGTCGACTGGAAATAGATGTCGGCCATTCTAACAATCTTCATATTAAAAGGTATAATGTGCAATTTGCAAATATGTGTTGGTTAATATTACAGCCTTTCTCCAAACAACAATTTTGTGAGTCTATGAGGGCGACAAGTGACATTTACGGAACAGGAACGTGCTAAAGTGCAATAGTAAGAAGGAGTAGCTCAAGTAGAGAAGAGTCTTGAAGTCAGTAATCTGACATATTAATGGCCAATATACAGCATTATCAACAAGAGGGTAACATGAGCTAACATTTACCTAGCCCTGTTTGAGCCTGTCCACTGCACACGGTCTGAATGCTTCCTGTTGAGAAGCTGTGGAAAGCGGCTACGTGCTACTCGTGGGAAGTTAACCAGACATGCATTTGCCAAATCAACATCTTAGTCCTCACATTGATGTTTTTCTGTAGTAAAAACTGAAAAACGTGCATCTACTGGTGGTCATAGTGGGTGTTTGCTTTGGTTTCATGAGATCTAGGATGGAGACTGATGGGTTGGTTTGTCAAATGTACGGTTAACTTCTCCACCTCTGATAAAACGCAGCGCACAACCGAACACGAGCCACCATAAGCTACTGGTCATACCAGACCAGTAAGGCCGTGCGTCATTTCTCATTGGTAAGAATGTGTTATTTGTACTGAATAGAAGAATATCTGTTGGCTAAACCTCTCAGCATGTGTCAGACTATTGCGACATCTACAGGATTTAGTTTGACCAATGTTACATCTAAATATTCTCGTACCCACTGCCGCTGCTCACAATGACCTCCGACTGACACACGGTCAGCAGGGAGTCACGCACGCACACACACACACACACACCTCGAGCCCCCGGCGGGTGAAAAGCAGCATGCCGCTTCACTTCCAGTCCTGGCTGAGGGTAGTGGGTGGAGGGGCTGTTGGAAGTGAAACTTCCCATGCTAATCTAACATTAGCTTGAATCGACCAGGCCAGGAAATTAATCCCTCTGACCCAGTTCTGAGGAGTGCCGTGGGAGCCCCCACCTGGCACCCAGCCCCTGCAGACACACAGCTCACCCTAACCCACCCCACAAACAGCACAGATACTGGACAGATGCATTGTGCCAGGTAAGGCCCTTCTGGGTAAATGCTAAATGCTCTTGACTGCTTGAGCCTAACGTCTTAACAGAACAATAGCTTGGCTAGCTACTGAAATGCCTAAAGGTGGATTTCGCTCTCCCACAGCGATTCTCTTCATGATTTGTCCAAAACACATCCAAGTTTCAGGCAGGCACACAAAGCTGTAGAGCACTAACGCCAATTCAAGGCTTTGAATAGTGTCAGACCAACTCAGGACTGTACAGAGCGACCTTTACAGAGATACAAACAGCTCCTCTTCAGATCAACAATGACCTTCCGCTCCTCACGTACAGCGCTCTGGAAGGTGGTGGCTGGCTTAAGCAGGTCATCCTGTTGAGTCATCGGAGCTATTGAGCCTTGTGTGTGCATGTGTCCAATAGATGATGGATGCACCTGAGCACAAGGCCAAACCACAGCAGCTACCGTAGTAAACCAGCAGTTGGGAACGTAACATTGGACTAAACACAAGAAGTGGATGGTTTTGAAGCCTCGAGTTTGTCATTTCGCCATCTTGGTTTTTATTTGTCACACTGTTGTTTTTTTGTCCGTCGCTATCTTGTTTTTTTTTTTTTTTTGCAAGAGAAGTGACACGAGAGGGAGAATAAGGTCACCAAGGGGACCAAAATGCTGCAATTGACTTTAATGAAGTGAATACACACGTGAAAGGTTACAGGTGAAGGACGAAAAACACGGGCAAAATGTGTCGAAGTCACAAAACAAATACTAAATATAAATAACTTCACTGGCTCTATGTAATCATCTTGGATTACGGTCGTCACCATGTTGGTTTTTTTTGCAACCAATGAACAGAAGTGACCATATTTGGACTGTGGAGGAGTGACTTAGAGACGCTGTATACAGCTCTGGTAGCGGCAGAGACCTGTCAATCACAGTAAGCCCCGCCCTAAAGCATCCCCTGCTTTATGGTCTGTTTTAGTCTAAATGGACCATAATTTACTAAATGAACATCATGCTGTATTGAAGAAGACTTTGAGCACGTGGACCCTGCTGAAGCGATCGCGCCTGCAGCGACGCGTCTCCGTGCGATCAGCCCCTCAGACACTTTTGGGCAGGGGTCAGTGAAACGGCTACAGTAACTCTGTGATAGCCGGGGCCGAGTGGAGCTCCACCGGCAAAGCTCTTGGCCCAGTGTGAGGGCAGTAATGGAGCAGAAGAAAACCCTCCAGCGCAGCAGCTCAGCCTCTCAACATCAATAATTCATGTGCAGGACATATCTAACCAAGGGAGTTTAAAGACAGAGTGACAGTGAGAGAGACAACAGCAATCCTCTAGATATCATACAAGTATTACAGCTGATTTATAGGGTACAAAGGTCAAATGGATTCTTAGAATTTAGCCTAGTTTGGTAGTGAAAGCCAGAAAAAAGGTCACTATAACTTAATGAAGCAGGCGTGTATAGCATAAAGGAACATCACAGACATTGCTGCTGAACAGGTGGTACTCGACCACAGTTCCCCTGTTTGCCCCGTTCAGCAGCAGTGCACGGTGGCTGCCTGTTCACCCTCAGGTGCAGGCTACTGATGTCCTGTCAGGGAGAATCCGCTAACCTCACAGACTGGAAGCACATCCTGCTGTCTGAAAGACCTGAGGCCTGAAGCTCCTCAAACAAATCCACGTGCAGGCGGTTAACATGTCTGTCTACTGTCATGAACAGCGAGGCCGTGTTCTTTCAGACAGTGATGCGCAAACATACAGACTCAAAGGCAGGGAGGCGCTTTCAGTCTCCTCATTCCTCACGACTGTGGGCGGATCATTTGCCAGCACATATTCCGTTCATGATCAGCTACTGAAAAACAAATATCAATTCCTTAATTTCACTAAAGTGAGACTAATTGGAGAGAACAGATGACTCACTGGATCTTCATTCAAATGTGCCGTGTGCAGCATTTCGGCATTAATTATCAGCTATTGCACATTAACGATGAGCTGCCTGTAATTATGGTGCAACTGGGTCAGACTGTCCAGCAAGTCTGCTGAATGGTTTACAGGACCGATGGCAGCGGGACGTGGAGATGGCAGGGTTGTGACGGGGCGCCTCACTTTTTCATTTAGGTGCACAGGCCCATCATTTAGGTGCACCCAGATTTTTCATCGCACCTTTTGCCACAATACATATACATACATCTGTCTTTAAAATAAGCTACACCGAGCGCCTTTAATGAAAGCATATCATTACTGATAATCACTGCGAACCGAGGTCAACGACCTATCTAGAACCCAATACTCAAGATCCTTTAAGAGACACGCACGTCTACTTTTTAACATGCTTCATGGGAATAAACACACAGAGTTCCTGATAAAAGGAACAGAGACACGGGAGACCCAGAGACACATAAAGGCCAAGAGAGAGAGAGAGAGAGAGAGACGAGTGGAGGTCGACTCTGTGCAGTCCAGCGCTCCCCTCGGCTCGCTGCCACACACATCGTCTGGCTCATCGCTGCACGGCTGCAGCGTGTTCCACTGAGCACCAACAGTCACCGCAGCACACGGCCTCACAAGTGAGCAGCACAGGGCTTAAAGTGTGCGGCAGAGCGCTGCCTGACATTTGTTTTTATGCGCTCACACCTCAGCTGATCTGTAATGCTGAGGAAGGAAAGGCTGTGCAGGAAGGTCAGGTTGGGTTTAAGAGGGCGAGGCGGACATATTTGTTCTTGACAGCAGGGCCGACTCGTCTGGCCTGTAATTGCTTATTGTTTATTGTTCTATGACGGAAGGATGGAAATATGCCACGGCAGCTGTGACACAGTGCACTTGACATGACGCTGGAAACAGTATTTCTGACCATTTTCTGCTGGCCTAAAACAAAGAAAGAGACAATGTGTTTCCTGTGCCAAAATGAAGGGAAGTCCATCTTAAACAGTGGCAACAGCTGGAAATCAGCACAGAGCAGAAGAGCAGGTGGATTAAGAAGGATGTCGGCACAATGGGCGCTGTGCCCAAAGATAGAAAAGAAATAGAAAAGCGAGGGGAGCCGGTCGGGAGCGCCGTGCACGTGCTCCTGCAGGATGGAGACGAGTCAGGGAGGAGCTTTACTACATTCATACAAGCTGATGAAAATGATTTGAATCTCA